ACCGGGTTTGGGTCGTGACATAGTTATTAAAATTATAAACTAAAATTTACTTTCATTTATTAAGATAGGAAGAAATTAGTACAATAACTCAAAAACATTAAAAACTGATTTTGTTATTTTATAGTTTAGCAATATCCAGTTTATAATTGACCAACTATCACTTAAATACTACTCTTCTTACATTTTTAGTTACAAAATCACTAATTAAGTTTGTATAATCTAATTTATCTACCAAATCCTTTTCAATAGACAATATAGCTAATCCATTCAATCTTTATCTACTCGTTTCTTGCTACCAAAATATTTATCAAGTGCTCCCGATTGAAATTGAATTAATTGTTCTACTTTCATCTTTTTCTTTCTATTTTCATTTCCAGAACTATACTTCCTATGAAACATGACTATAATCACACTTCAATCCATAAATCACAATCCACTGATTATCTATATTTGATAACAAAGATATTACAAAAAAAAAAAAAAAAAAAAATTAATGAAACAAAAATTAGGGCAAAAAACTAGAAAAAAATTATTCAATCAAAACTGATAAAGATGTAGGTAAAAAAATTAGGACAAAATTATTTATTCCACTAAAATCTGATAGATAAAGAAGGTAAAAAAATTAGGGCAAATTTATTATTCCACTAACTGATAAAGAAAGAAGGTAGAAAAAAATTAGGACAAATTTATTTAATAAAATTTGATAGAGAGAGAGAGAATCTCCGACTTGCCGCTGCTTTATGCTTGGTATGCTTGAAGAATGCTTCCTTCATCACTTCGTGTGAGAGAGAGATAGAGAGATTGAGAACAAATGTATGTATTGTTCTTCTTCTTGGGCCACAAACACTTTTTTTTGTATATATTTTAATTTTAATCTAGCCATGCCACACTTACAAATAAATATGGGTCCAATAGAATATTTTGGGACCTAAAAATTTTTTTTTGGGCCTATAGCACTTTACTAAATTTGGAACCTTATTTTGGGCTAATTTTTTGGGGCCTTAAGCTAGGGCCAGTACTGATGATGGTGTTGAAATGAAGAAAGAGATAGAACAGAGAAAAGAGAGAGGGTTTGATTTGGTTTCCACCATATAACATATATATTTATATATAGGGTAATTTGGTCATTTTATCGTAGATTATCCTTACGGATAAAATATTTTAAAGTGTGAATTTTTGAATAAAAAAAAAATTAAATTTAAATTTATGAATCAAGTGTCGGATAAAAAATTCTAAAACAATGAAAACTGTACCTGATCGGACAGAACCGATTTAGTAATTTCGAGAATGCCATTTCCCTTATTAAAAAAAAGGTGATTGTGTGATTTTATTATTGTACTGACTTGAATTCTTCCATTCACATAACCTAGTAAACTAAATAAAATAAACTATAAATAAATTTATATAAATGACACCAAATGGATGTAGATCCGGGATGCAGTAGAACCTACGGAGCAACTACTCGCAGTAAATTTCTTTTATTTATTTATATTTTCATTGTTAATGAGTAGATGTAGATTCAAGATGGGGACATATGGAATCTACCCTGCAAATAAGCACCAAATATCAATAATCATCCCCAAAGTCATGTGAATTAATTAACATTAGGAAAATTTATACAACAGTCTCGGAATAGTATGTCATTATATTCCCTCACCAATTACCATTAAATTAGACACAATAATTAAAAAAATAAAGATTTAAGATGGTCTAATTATAACAATTCTTATTACTTACCTACCCACCATGAGCATTCTCTCGATCACTTTCAATTGAGCTCTGAGGTGTTGTTTAAAATTGATACTTGCAAAAAAAAAGTGCTTTAATTTTTTTTAAATTAATAAAAATTATATTACGTTTTTATTTAATTTTATTTAGGTGGTGGTGATATCTTCTTGTTAGTTTGTGAAGAAGAAGAGCAGAAACTTCAGGCATAGTGATTTATATATATATATATATATAATTATTATACAAATAAAAGTTTATATTTAGAAGGTTTCAGCTAAATTTCACAGAAAATTATAGTGAAGTCGAAAGGCATTGATAGTGAAATTCAATTCAACAGTTTTCATCAGTCAAGAGTTTTGCGGGGACCAAATAAGCCAGCTTCTCCCTTATGAAAAGCAACTTCTAAGAAATATCCAATATCCTCATTTGGTCCCTCTCATTATAGAAAAAACGCTTATCACGGTTTAGTGGACGGTGGTTCTGCAATATTTATTGCAATTTTTTATTTTTATTTTTATTTTTTTATGTCCTAAAAATAATCTAAAATAAGAAAAATAAAAATTTCAATTATTGAGAAAGTGACTTTTTTAGCTTTTTCGTTTACATTATTAGCTTTGAACTTATTTGAGATTGCAACAAATGGCATTAATATAGCTGAAGTGAGACTTTTCATTTTAAAATAAAGAACTTTACACTTTTCAAAGTATATTCATTATATGTTATTTTGGTCTGTAATATTTCATTGTATTCATTTGATCCCCAACTTATTTAATTTTTATCTCAATGAAGAAATTTGGACAAAATTATATGGAAGTATTGATGAATAAAATGGATAAATTGGGGACCAAAGCAAATAGTCCCTATTATAGTTTTTGTCTAAATATCTGTTCATTTGGACGAAATATCTTTGTGCTTTTTGTTATAAAATTTAAACGAAAACGACTATGAACTCAACTTATTGAATTTGTGTTTAAATGGACCTAATGTCATTTTGGTGAAAATTGGGCCGAACTATGAGATGGTCATAGTGGCCCACAATACAAAGGGCTGAGTAAAAAAGGCTGTAAAAGTTACTCCGGCCCAAAAGAGGTATAGAATTACTCCGGCCCAAGATACGTATAAAAGTTACTTCGGTCCGGAAGCAACTTGAAGTTAGACCGGTCTTGGATTTATACCGGTCGCGAATCGTTAGTTCGGTCTAAACCGTACCATGAATTACATATGAAAAGCCGAAGTAATGAGTAGAAGGAAGAACTAGTTCGGCTCATTCTACAGCTATGCTTAGTCGTGTTTACTTCGGTCGTATTGGAGTTCGGCCATGGTAAAAACCATCCCACTTGGTTTAAGCAGTGGAGAGGGGTGTTAAAGGATAAGCATTATCTTACTGGAGTATGAATCCTAGGAGGACTCTGCATGGAGGAATAGAAGTCCTACTAGGATTGTGCCACTCAAAACCTATAAAAGCTCACAAACATCACCTTTGGGGAGGTAACACACAACTTTGCTTTCTGAATACATAGAGCTTTGTCTATTTGTCAAGTTTGCTGACTTAGGCAACGGAGAGGTTTCCGGTACCCACCCGCCGGCTAGCTCACGTTTGTGTTTTCAGGTGATAAAGCGACGTCGTACGGATGAGCGCAGACTTGGTCAACAGGATTATACGAGAAGGTGTATT